CCCCAGGCAGATAGTGACCTGTTTTCTGTGTCCATAGTTTTACCTCCTTCAGAATGTCATACAAATGGATCCAAACAGCTGGTAGCTTTTTATATCTGATTTCTTTCACTTAGCATAATGCAATTGAGATTCATCCATGTTGTTAAGTGTATCAGAAGTTCACTCCTTACATTGCTGTCATTTTCCATTGTATGAATGTACTATAGTAGATATATCCATTCACCAGTTGAAGAACATTTATTTCCAGTTTTTGATGATTATAAATAAAGCCTCTGTAACATTTGCATACAGGTGTTTGAATGAAGATAAGTTTTCATTTCTCTTGGGTAAATATCTAAGAATGGAACTGCTGAGTTGTGTGATAAGCATATGCTTAATATTATATGAAATAGTCAGTTGTTTGCCAAAGTGTTTGTGCCATTTTGCATTCTTACCAACAATGTATGAGAGTTCAAACTAGTCTGTATCCACAGTAGTACTGAGTAATACCAGTTTTTCTGTTGTTGTTGGTTTTTTTAATCTTATTCATTGTAATGGATGTGTACGGGTACCTCAGTGTAGTTTAAGTTTTTAATGACTCGAGTCTCTTCACGTGCTTATTTGCCACCCATATTTCTTTTTGGTGAAATATATTTTCAATTCTTTCCCCTATTTACTTATTAACTTGTTTGCTTTATTGCTGGGTTTTGAGGATTCCTTACATATTCTAGATCCAAGTCCTTTAGCAGAAATACGCTTTGCAAATATTTTCTCCCAGGCCTGAAGTTTGTCTCTTCATTTTCTTATTCTGTCTTAGCAGCTCAGCAGCTATAATAAAATGTTGTAGACTGGGTGGTTTAAACAACAGACAGTTATTTCTCACAGCTCTGCAGGCTGAGATGTCCAAGATCAAGATGCCAGCAGATTCAGTACCTGGTAAGAGCTCTCTTTCTGGCTTGCAGACTGCCACCTTCTGGCTGTTTCCGCACATGGTGGGGACAGAGAGATCAAGCTCTCTGGTCTCTTCTTATCAAGTCACTAATCCCATCATGAGGATCCCACCTTCATGATCTCATCTAAATCTAATTACCTCCTAAAGGCTCCATAATCAGATATATTGGGGGGTAGGCCTTCAATGTGTAAGTCTGTGGGGAGATACAATTCAGTCCATAGCAATGTCTCTCAGAGAGAGTAAATTTTAAATTTTGAGGAAGCCCAACTTAACAATTTTTCTTTTATGGATTATGCCTTTGGTGTCATATCTGAGAAGTTTATGCCTAACCCCAAATCACAAAGCTTTTCTCTTATATTTTCTTCTAGAAAATTTATACTTTCAGCTGTTTTTATGTAGGTCTACAATCCATTTTAATTGTTATACATGGTGCCAGGTATAGATCAAGGCTCTTTTTTTTTTTTTTAACATTTGTATGTCACATTGTTCTAGCGCCATTTGTTTAAAAAAAGACTATCTTTTCTCTTGAATTTCCTTTGAAAATTTTTCAAAAATCAATTAACCAAAAATCCATATGTCTATTTGTGGTTTCTCTCTTCTTTTCCATTGATTTATGGGTCTATGCTTTTACCCGTACTATGCTCTCCTGATTAGTGTGGCTTTATCCTAAGTCTGAAATCAGGTGGTATGAATCCTCCAAAAATTTTTAATTGTTTTGATTTTTCTAGCCCTTCGTATTTCCATACAAATTTTAGAATCAGTCTGTCAGTTTCTACTGGGAAAAAAAGGCCTTCTGGCATTATGGTTAGGATTTCATTGAGTTTACGCAAATCAATTTGAAGAAAATTGATAGCTTAACAATACGGAGGCTTCTGATTCATGATCACAGTATTTCTCCCCATTTCTTTAAATCTTCTTTAATTTCCCTCAGTAAGGTTTAATAGTTTTCAGTGTACAGGTCTTGAACCTCTTTTGCTAAATTTACCTTTTAGTATTTTACTTAAAAAATTTTTTTTAACATTTATTGTTCATCGTGGTCCGAGCACAGTTGGAAAAGAATTTCCAGACACAAGGCAGAATGTAAGGAAGATATAGTTTATTCAAAAGAGTTGCTGCAAGAACAGTGGGCCGAATTCCTGGTAGCCAGGGAAAGTTGACCATGAGCATGGGTTTCTGGTCTGTTTTTATAGCCAGGGAACCTGTAAGTCATCTGCTGACTGGGCAGAGTACGTATACTTTCAGTGTGGGGAGCGTGAGAAGAACAGGGCAAATATCTTTCCTTATATGGGATGGGAAAGGGACAGGGCGTGCTGCCTGGGAGGGCTCTGGAACATTGCAATGGTCACATTCTGACAGTGATAGGAGTCCTGTAACTCTTTGTTCTGGCAATATTGGCCCTTCGAGTTTATCTTGTTCTTTGTCCTTGGAGCACACCACATTGTTGTCTAGTACATGTTGTTTAGTAGCATGTCCATTTATTTTATTTACTTCTTGGCCACACCATACAGCATGTGGGATCTTAGTTGCCTGACCAGGGATCGAACCCACGCCCCCTGCATTGGAAGTGCAGAGTCTTAACCACTGGACCACCACGAAGCCCCTTGTATTTTATATTTTCCATTTTTCATGGTAATTTTAGAATTTTCTGATTATTCATTGCTAGTGTATAGAAATATAATTGATTTTGTATATTGACCTTGAATCCTATGAACTTGCTAAACTCACTTATTCTGGTAGCTTTTTTTTGTGGATTCCTTAGGATTGTCTGTGAATAAGGTCAGCTACTTCTTTTCCAGTTTAACTATCCTTTAGCGATTTTTCTTGATTTTCTAGTTTTAACTAGAACCTCCAGCAATATGATGACTAAAAGTGCTGAGAGTGGCTATCCTTGCTTCTCTCAAATCTTAGTCATTCACTGTTGTATTAGTTTGCTGGGGCCGCCATAACAGAGTACCACAGACTAGGTGGCCTAAACAACAGAAATGTATTTTCTCAAACTCTAGAGTCTAGAATTCTAAGATCAAGGTGTCAGTGGGGTTGGCTTTTTCTGAGGCCTCACTCATTGTCTTGCAGATGGCTGTCTTCTTCCTGTTTTCACATGGTCTTCTGTCTGTATCTGTGTCTGTGTCTTAATCTCCTGTTCTTTAAGGACACCAGTCATATTGGATTAGGATTAATCATAATGACCTCATTTTAACTTAATTACCTCTTTAAAGATCCTGTCTACAAATACAGTTATATTCTGAGGTATTGAGGGTTAGGATTTCAAAATGTGAATTTTGGGGGGACATGATTCAGCCCTAACAATCATTAAATATGATGTTAGCTGTAGGTCTTTGTAGATACCTTACCTAAGGTTGTTAAAATTCCCTTTTATTTCTAGTTTGCTTTTTTTTAAATCTTGAATGAGTACTGAATTTTATCAAATTATTTTCTACATCTATTAAAATGATAATATGTGTTTCCTTTCTCCCTCTTTTAGTACGTGAATTACATAGATTGAGTTTTCAAATTTCAAGCCAGACTTGTATTTCTGGGAATAACCCCATTCAGTCGTGATGTATTATCCTTTTCATATGTTGCCAATTTTTATTTGGGAAAACATCATGGAGTATTTTTGTGGTGCACACCACATTGAAGACTGTTGAGTTTCTGGGTGGAAAGAGAAATGCTATAAAAATGTTTAATCAGGGCTTCCCTGGTGGCGCAGTGGTTGAGAGTCCGCCTGCCGATTCAGGGTACACGGGTTCGTGCCCCGGTCCGGGAAGATCCCACATGCCGCGGAGCGGCTGGGCCCGTGAGCCATGGCCGCTGAGCCTGCGCGTCCGGAGCCTGTGCTCCGCAACAGGAGAAGCCCCAACTGTGAGAGGCCCGCGTACCAAAACAAAAGTGAATGGAAGCATGACTAGAAAGTAAGGTTGTTCTTCTTATAGTTTTTGTACCATTTGCCTTTTAAAAATTATGCGCACATTATTTTAGAAGTAAAACTTAATTTACATTAATTTTTTTTAAAAGTCTCCAACCAGAAACCAGTCATTTGTTTTGTTTGTTTTCATTACAACTCTGATTCAGTTGGGATTTTTTTGTTGGTGCATGGCATGCAAACAACTGGAACAGCGTCTATTTTTCCTCCTAAATAGGTAACTAATTCGTCCCAGCATAACTGACTAGTGCTTTTCTTCCCATTATTTGTTAATACTCAGTTATTCATACCAGGATATTTCTATACTATTTGTCCTTGCTCCAGTACCACACTGATTTGAGCTATAGTGGAATGAGTTTACTGTGGTGAAGCTCATTTATTTTAAAAAAAAAAAAAAAGATGTGCAAAGACACAGAGGTTTATAAAAGTAGATGGCTGGTTAAGTGCATGGAGGAATCTAAGAGTAGATAAATAATGAATGATGAAAGCGCAACAGTAAACAGCATTAGTTAAAGCCAAACTCTGGCCACAGAGCCTCTCGGGAGGAAACAACCTTCACAAGTTTGGACCCGTAGATGCGGGAGACACCAAGCACAAAGGAAAAGCGGCGGAAGCCCGGGGGATCCCACAGTGATTTACGGTCCCTCACCTGCTCAGGGAGATTGGCGGCGACCCCGGGGGCGGGGCAAAGCAAACGTCACTTCCGGCCCGCGACACCCTCTCCCGCTATGACGGCCAGTGCGGAGGCGCGGGGGCGGCGCCCAGGAGTCGGGGTAGGAGTAGTGGTGACCAGCTGCAGGCATCCTCGCTGCGTCCTCCTGGGGAGGAGGAAAGGGTCATTTGGAGCCGGCAAATTCCAACTTCCTGGGGGCCACTTGGAGTTCGGGTAAGCAGCCGCCTAGCGGACGGGGAAAGCGGGAAGTGCACGGGAAGGACGACCTCGCTCCCTGCGTGCGTCCGTGCGTGCGCGCCGGCGCTGCGTCGTTTCTCGCGAGTTCCTCTTTTCTCCTCTCGGGCCGGGAGGGGGCACTGCGCTGGGTATGGCTGAAGGAGAGATTTCCTCGTTCCCGTGTGAGCTGCGCCTGCGCCATCATCTCCTCGCGAGACGTGACGCGGCTGGGAGTTGGCTGGTGAGTTGTGTTTTTCTTACTGCTCGCACTTGAGAGACCGGAAGTTGGTGTTTATGGGCCGCGGTCAATGTAGTTCTGTCAGTTAAGGCTTTTGCACGGTTTGCTGGTGATTTAAACGCACATGGATATATTCCGTGTTTCCTGCTCCAGTAAGTTTAGTTGCGCTCTAACCAAGCGAATCGGCGACTGAAACTCTGGGCCTCAGTTTCTCTTTTTAAAATGGGGAAGTTAGATGCTGTACTCCTTAAGGTCCCTCTCTGCTTTGGCATGTTGTGGTTTGATGATGTGTCAGACCGACAAAGAAAGTTAGTTCTACACAAGGGTGTAAAAAGGCTGAGATTGTGCTAGAAGGTGGATTCACCCAGACTCTTGGACTCTTTAATCAATAGAAATTGATAAGATGCCAGATGAGGAATTTAGGCGAAGCTTTATTGGGGGCTCGTGCTGTAGCAAGAGGGAGCGAGAACAAGACACAGGTGCCCCTTGCTCGGCTCCCCTGGAGGGGACGTGGTGGTGGGCTGGTTCCTTAAATGGGGTGAGAATAGGGATGGATCTGTGGGCTGTGCAGGAGGCGCAGCTTAGGTGGCCCGCCTAACCCCCTTGGTGTGTGTGGGAATCATGCGTGGTACCCTGCTTTGCTCTCAGCAGCTCCGAAATGGCAGTTGGTTTGTGGCCTTTTTATAGCTTGTTTATAATTGCCCCAACTGCGCATGCGTGCAGTTATTTTTTTAACCTCTATCTTTGTCCAGGTGCAAGCGCTCTGGTAGATGATCTATCTCAAAGTGAGAATAAAGCGTTTAAGACACAGAGCTTGTTTTTCCTTTTGTATAGAAAGTTTCAAACATACATAAAGATAGAATAGTCAGTGAATCCTCATGTACCCGTTACTCAGTTTGTTCTTGTTTCGTCTTTACTGCTCCTCCCTCCCGGCAAACAGACACACACACCCCTTGTTTTCTAAACTATTTTAAAGGAAAGCGGGCATCTTATTACACCACCCCTAAGTAATTCAGTATCTATCTGTAATAGGCTTTTAAAAAGAAGTAACCACAATACCATTTTCAAACCTTAAAATATTTTATAGCATCTGTTACCCAGTCTGTACTGTTTTCTGCAGTTGTCTTGAAAATGTCTTTTTACTCTTTTGTACCAATTCAGATTAAAGGAAGGGCACATGTTGCATGTGATTGATACATTTTTAAGTCTCTTAATCTAGCAGTACCCGCCCTCCCCTTTTTCCTATGCCATGTTGAATATGGGTCATTTGAATTTCTCACATTATGACTATATTCTTCTAATTCACGTATTTCTTATAAAGTGGTTGTTAGAAGTAGAGGCTTGATCCTAGTGCCTTTTAATCAGACTCAGATCTTTATAGAATATGGAATTCTTATCTTCTAGCACAGGGAATTGTTTAAATGGTCTTCAGAATTTTTAAAAGCATCAATAAGTTTCTTGTTTTTAGATAAGTAAGATAAGCTATCACTTAATAAATAATAAAATGCCTAGATTAAGAATCAAATTGCCCAGACAAGCACACCATATTGTACTTTGTCAGTTTGGGGGGCGGGGGAGCATTAGCCAACGTTAGATCACAAACTAAGCACTATTTAGAATGTGTAATTTCTAGAGTAGTGGCTCGAGATAGTTGTCCTAACAGTAACACAAGACAGTATTGGAGTCTTGACTCATACTGAATGATAATGGCCAAAATTGAACTTTAATGACCTTTTTACTAAGTGCTAGGTGTTATGCTAAGCTCTTCACATGTGTGCTTTCACTTATCTTTGTATAACTGGTAAACTGAGTGGGCTAAATCGATGGGAAACAAACAGGAAGGAAGTAGCTTTATTTTCTCTTTTCATTGTCTTCAAATATGATTTGTCTTTCCCTTCTCTGCTTCTCCATGACGTTTTCTGCAAATTCAATTGTTTTGCTCTTGTTACCAACCTGGGTTCTTGAACTCTTTAATCAATAGAAATTGATAAGACATCAGACAAAAGAATTCAGGCAAGACTTTATTGGGACTCATGCTACAGCATGAGAGGTAACAGGTGCCCTTGCTCGCTCTCTGAGGCAGGTGAGCTGGTCCCTTAAACGGGGTGAGGGTGGGAGTGGATAGGTGCTTTGGGCTGGAGGGGTGGCTTAGGTGATCTCTCCACCCCCTTGGTGGTGCCGGGTGCCTGTGTCGTGTGTGGTACCCTGGTTTTGCTCCTGGTGCCTCAAAAGTGGCAGTTGGGTTTTGGCCTTTTTGTATCTTTGTTCACAGTTTGCCCTAACTGTACATGGGTGCAGTTAGTTTTCGTCGTCTCTTAGAGTTTCTTTGTATTCTGTTGTTCAGGGAGAGGAGATGTTAGTCCAGGTGCAAGCAGTGCAGTAAAGGGTCCCAGTCCCAGCCTGTCTCACTTTCACTTGATTATAAAAGTAAATCGTATTTTGGTTATTATGATCCTCTTCCAGGCATTTAGCTTTCCTTTGTAGTGGGGAAAGGAGGTGTGTGCCATTGTTTTGCTTTCTCTACCTCCTCCTCTTCTCACTGTTTCTGGTTTCTTTTTCTGGTGTGTTGAGGAAGGAGGAGAGGGAGCAAAACTTTTACCTGAGTGGTGCTGCTGTGATCTATGTTATGTGCCCTCTGGGTGCAGTATTCACAGGCGTGCTCTCTTTCTTTCTTTTTTAAAATTTATTTATTTTTGGCTGCGTTGGGTCTTTGTTGCTGCGCGCGGGTTTTCTCTAGTTGCGGCAAGCAGGGCTACTCTTCGTTGTGGTGCGCGGGCTTCAGTAGTTGTGGCTTGCGGGCTCTAGAGCACAGGTTCAGTAGTTGTGGCTCACGGGCTTAGTTGCTCTGAGGCATGTGGGATCTTCCCGGACCAGGGATCCAACCCGTGTCCCCTGCATTGGCAGGAGGATTCTTAACCACTGCGCCACCAGGGAAGTCTGCGTGCTCTCTTTCTTAGGGTGTGTTTATTGGTTGGTTGGAAGTCCTATAAGGATTTCTACACTGCACAGTTCCCTGACATAGGTGACTGACTTTTTGTGACGCTGGCCACCAGCTCCTGCTGTTAGCACACCACGCTACATTTTCTTTGTGACGGGCCCCCCAGCAGTCTCTTGTAGCATCTGCTTGGCCCAAAGAAAACACATGTTGGGAAGGACGCTTTCACTGCTGCCCATTTTCTCTGCTCAGCCATCGTGGGCTGCTTTAGCCACTCTCCTGCCTTCCAAATTCCTAAAGTGGGAATGAGCATCACCTTGTGTATTCACGTGCATCCCTAAACACCACGGGACACATTTCAGATTAACACAAGAGCTCTTTCCCTCCTACACCTCTACTCTGATGCACTGGGGTAGACCTATGAGGTTCCACAGCTCAGTCTTTAACTGGGGAGTAACATGCCAGTACCTCCTTCTTGAGAGTCTCACCCAGTCTTTGTGACTAATTCTCTTGGAGGGCCTCTCACTTGGTTTCAAGGCAGAGCTGGCCCCTCATCAGGAGGAAGAGGAACGTTCCTTCAGGCTGAAAACGCACAACTCTCCTCCCTCCCAAAGATCTGTCTTCTTATGTAGACTGGGTAGTGACGGTAGTTTAGATAATTAGAGATACAAAAATATTCAAGGTAGAAAAGATAGAGAAACAATATTCTTTTTTGCTGAATATCACACTAAAGTGCTTCATAAATATTTGGAAATTTAATCTAAAGTGCATATGAAATGACTTTTAGAAAAACTGAATCACTAATGATTTCTTTTAATAATATTTGTTTTCATTCAATACTCATATTTTATTTGATTGTATAAAATTTCATTTGGAACAATTTCTAAAGGGAGATATTATATATTTTTAGTCTTGTCTCATGTATGAAAACTGCAGTGAAATGTTTTAATTTATATACAGGTTTTTGTAACTTGGAATATCAGCGTTTTTGTCAATATCTAGTTATGGATCATACGTTGAAGGTGAACTAATCACATCAGCGTATTTTAATATTTCGTGAATGCCTGTTGCCTATTGCCCTCAGTTTTGAGCCTTCTGAGCCTTCAGAAAAGACAGTGTCCACTTCTTGGTACAACTAACACAACCCCATGAGAAAGTAGTATTATCTTCTTACTTGTCTAAGGTGGAAAATAATGGACTTTGAACTCAAACCCAGGTCTAGTTGACTCCAAAGCTGTGCTCTTAACTGATATATTAAACCACCTCCTGGTTGCATGCTGCTTCCAGGCACATGAAGTAGTGCTGAATTGGCTAAAAGTTCATTTTTTTGTTCAATATGAAGTCCTTTTGGTCTTCAGATACTTGATACAGGATAAACAGAGTGTCAAAGGAGGGTTGTTGATTTATTGTTGTAAAGCGTGAACCAATTACAGCTCTTTTTGCTTTACACTAGGAATTTCTAGCCAGGAATTTCATGGCAAAAAAAAATGCATAAATAGAATTGAATACGGTGGTGTGTTTCTGTTTTTCAGTGAAAGCTGGGAAGAATGTGCTCAAAGGGAAACCTGGGAAGAAGCAGCTCTTCACCTGAAAAATGTTCGCTTTGCCTCGGTTGTGAATTCTTTCGTTGAGGAAGAGAATTACCATTATGTCACTATTTTAATGAAAGGAGAGGTGGATGTGACTCATGATTCAGAACCAAAGAATGTAGAGCCTGAGAAAAATGAAAGTAAGAGAACTATAAATAATGCATTTTCTATGAGAGCACATGGTCTGAAGGAAGATTACGTTATATTGCCATAGGAAGAAAATTAGATTAGAATATAATTATACTTCAGTTAGAATGTAAATATACTTAAATCCTGGATACATAAGGACAGAACAGGAGAGAGAACTGGGCCTAGAGCCAGACTACTTGGTTCGCATCCTGGTTTTTCTACTTAGAGGTTTGTAACCTTGGACAAGTTATTTAGGTCTCTGGGCCTCTTTTCTCACTTGTGACAATAGTACCTACTTCAGATGCGTTGTTGTAAGAATAAAATGAGTTAATACATACAACGGGCCTGGCCTAGTGAACACAGTAAGTACTCAGTAAGCGTTAGTTTTATTGTTAGTGTTTAATTTTGTTTCACACTGATTTTTAAGCAAAACATTTAACGTGACTTCCTCAGTTTTCTCACCTGTGCAAGAGAGGTAAAACTTCCTTTTATAGAGAATGCTTAACCTGACAAAACACTTAGCTGTTACCTTCTGCGTTGAATTGAGTGCTCTGAAAGCTTTAATGACAATAACTGATATTCTGTTATTTACTGTGTACTAAGCATTGTTCTTAGGGCTTTGCATGTATCATCTCTCTTCAGATTTCATAAAACTGCATGATAAAAGGAACTAAAGAGTAAAATATCAAACTTATTCAGTATATTATTTGCCATAAGAAACCTTATCCAAGTGGTCTCATGTAGGATCACCCCTCTAAACGTTTAATTTCTCCTCTAACAGCGAAAATCTTTTCATTCACAAATACTTGCTGAGTACTGTGTGCCAGACATTGTTCTAAGCACTAAAGGAAAAGTGGTGTTTAAAACAAAGTCCCTGCCCTCCTGGACTTTACATTTTATCTGGGGGGAAAGGCAACAAATTAGCAGATATTTTATGATAGTAATGATAGGAGTAAGAATAAAAATAAAGCTGTGTAAAGATAGTGATGCATGGGTGTTGTGTCAGGTGGGGTGGTCAGGGAGGGCTTCTGTGCAGAAGGAAGTGACATTGCTAGAATGAATAAGTCATGTCTGAAGTGTTTTACAGACTGACTTGATTGAATGAACAGAAGGGCATGTTCTACCCGAAGGCCCGTTGAGTCATATAAGATTTTTTGTAAAATAGGTAACTACTTGGAATCCTTTAAAATGAGCTAGCAAAGTCTGAACTGTTTTTACTCACAACACTTCTGATACCAAATGTGTGGACTTTTACCCTCACACTAAATAATTCTCCAACTCTCCAGACATCAGTTGAGTGTCCTATAATTCAGTTCAATTCTTACACTGTCTACTTGGATCCGAAAAGTTAAAGAGCTCAGTCCCATGAGACTGCCCCCATTTCCAATGCCAATCTCACGTCCAGGCCTCCTGTACTTTTGACGGCCTGGCTATAAATCGAGGCTCCCACAACCCCCTCTTCGGTAATTTGCTAGAATGTCCCACAGAATTAAGGAAAACACTCTCCTTACATTACCAGTTTGTTTTAAAGGGTACAGCTCAGGAACAGCCAAATGAAAGAGGTAGGGCCAGGTCTGGGGAGGGGGCACGGGACTTTCATGCCCTCTCTGGATGTGCCACCCTCCCAGCACCTCGATGTGTTCAACTCGGAAGCTCTCTGAACCCAGCTGTGTAGAGTTTTTATGGAGGTTCCTATGTAATGGGATTATTATTACTGTGATTGGTTAAATCAATGTCCATTGGCTGTTAACTCAGTCTCTAGCCCCTCTCTCCACCCCTAAGGTGGAGTGTGGGGTGAGAGGTGGGCTGAAAGTTCCAACCCTGTGATCACGCCTGGGTCTTCCTGGTCACCAGCCCCCATCCTGAAACTCTCCAGGGGTCCTCAGCCACCAGCCATCTCATTAGCATAAACTCAGCATTGGTTGAAAGGAGCTTATTATGGAAACAAAAGATGCTCCTCCGATCCCTATCACTCAGGAAATTACAAAGATTTTAGGAACCCTGCCAGGAAACAGGGATAAAGACCAAATACCTATTTCTTATATCACGATGTCACACAAAGAAACACACAGAAAGTATGCAAAGGCCTTCAGCTGGCCTAGGGTACAACAGAAATTATTCATGCCTTAGGAAGTGGGAGGCAGGATTGTACCAGGTTCACTGGGGGAGCTGATAACCTGGCCAAGGTGCAGGCACTCGGGGGTCTTCGTTTTTTATAATATAAGCATGCAGCCTCTGCCCCATGTTCATCAGGTCCTGGATCTGGATTGCCTGCTTCAGTTTCCTCTAGCCATCTGTTTATACTTAGAAGGATTATCCAGATGCTTCGTTTTCTAGGGGGCCCCTAGGATAAACTTTACTTCAGCTCTCTTGCGACTCAGTTAATTGAGCATCTTGCAGCACATTGTGAGTGTCTCCCTCCCCCTCCTTCTTCTTCTCTCTCTCTCTCTCTCTCTCTCTCTCTCTCTCTCTCTCTGTCTCTCTCTCTCCAGGGGCATTAAATCTGGGTTTGACCACAATGTGGCCTTTGTAAACTTGGCGTCATATTCAAATAACAGCATGTTTTAAATGATCATCATTCCCTTCTTAAGATCTTCATTCTAAATGCAAATTATGTTTGTATAGCCAAGCTAATGCATAGCATCACTATTGCACTTCATTAGTAGCAAATCTTTTTTTTTTTTTTTTTTTGTGGTACGCGGGCCTCTCACCGTTGTGGCCTCTCCCGTTGTGGAGCACAGGCTCCGGACACGCTGGCTCAGCGGCCATGGCTCACGGGCCCAGCCGCTCCGCGGCATGTGGGATCTTCTCTGGACCGGGGCACGAACCCGTGTCCCCTGCATCGGCAGGCGGACTCTCAACCACTGCGCCACCAGGGAAGCCCATCATTTTTAAATTTAATTAATTTTTCTTAGTATAGGTTAACTTGCCAAAATAAATATCCTTTGTTTCCTTTCATCTAAAGAAATTGCTTTGATACCTTTCTTTTCTAGGTTGGGAGTGGGTTCCTTGGGAAGAATTTCCTCCCCTAGACCAGCTTTTCTGGCCACTACGTTGTTTAAAGGAACAAGGCTACGATCCATTTAGAGAAGATTTGGATCATCTGGTAGGATACAAAGGAAATCACCTAGAGGTGAACAAGGAGACTCCCTGATTTTTTTTTTTAATGGGTTAGCCAAAAAAAAAAGTTCATCTGGTTTTCCCGTAAGATGGCTCTAGTAGTGCTTAGTTGTGTTTAACTTCTTTCGAAACAATTTTGTTGGATTGTATTGTGACAGCTGTCATATCAGCGTGTATTTAAAAAAACACTTAACAAAATTGGTGAATTTTTGCATAGCCATTTTAATATAGAAGATGGAAGAAAAAAAGCAACATTTTCGGCATATTATGCTTGATTATTTCAAGAAAGGTAAAAATGCAACTGAAACGCAAAAAAAGATTTGCGCAGTGTATGGAGAAGGTGCTGTGACTGAGCGAACGTGTCAAAAGTGGTTTGCGAAGTTTCGTGCTGGAGATTTCTCGCTGGACGATGCTCCACGGTCAGGTAGACCAGTTGAAGTTGATAGCGATCAAATCGAGACATTAATTGAGAGCAATCGACGTTATACCACTCGGGAGATAGCCGATATACTCAAAATATCCAAATCAAGTGTTGAAAATCATTTGCACCAGCTTGGTTATATGAATCGCTTTGACGTTTGGGTTCCACATAAGTTAAGCGAGAAAAACCTTCTTGACCGTATTTCCGCATGCGATTCTCTACTGAAACGTAATGAAAACGTTCCATTTTTAAAACAAATTGTGATGGGCAATGAAAAATGGATACTGTACAATAATGTGGAACGGAAGAGATCGTGGAGCAAGCGAAGTGAACCGCCACCAACCACACCAAAGGCCGGTCTTCATCCAAAGAAAGTGATGTTGTGTATATGGTGGGATTGGAAGGGAGTCCTCTATTATGAGCTCCTTCCGGAAAACCAAACGATTAATTCCAACAAGTACTGCTCCCAGTTAGATCAACTGAAAGCAGCACTCGACGAAAAGCGTCCAGAATTAGTCAACAGAAAACATATAATCTTCCATCAGGATACCACAAGACCGCATGTTTCTTTGATGACCAGGCAAAAACTGTCACAGCTTGGCTGGGAAGTTCTGATTCCTCCACCTTATTCACCAGACATTGCACCTTCGGATTTCCATTTATTTCGGTCTTTACAAAATTCTCTTAATGGAAGAAATTTCAATTCCCTGGAAGACTGTAAAAGGCACCTGGAACAGTTCTTTGCTCAAAAAGATAAAAAGTTTTGGGAAGATGGAATTATGAAGTTGCCTGAAAAATGGCAGAAGGTAGTGGAACAAAAGGGTGAATACGTTGTTCAATGAAGTTCTTGGTGAAAATGAAAAATGTGTCTTTTATTTTTACCCAAAAAACCAAAGGAACTTTTTGGCCAACCATACATAAAAGGCAAAATAAGGTCCTGTAAAAGAATGAAAAATATCTTCATTTCAGAACAGCTCCATTTTAGCTGAAAAGTCCCACACGATTGCCAGTTATTTATTTGGAGTCTCTTAATATACCCAATACCCTTTCAGCCTGTACTCGTGAAAAATTTTCGGGGATTGTGTCATGAATTATATTTCAGACTCAGAAAACGTGATAAATGGTGATGTTGTGGTAATTCTGCTTTCCGTATTACTCTGTGGTTTGACTGTGCTGTTTGTCATTACCAGTGTGCGCGGAGGAGAGTGCAGAATTTGTCTTAGTGTTTCAGTTCTAATAGAGAACCTAATTCAGGTGCTAACACAGTATGCCCGTTGCAGAATTTATCACATTTGTTGATTTTCCTCTTTTGTTTTATTTAAGTCAAAAAAATTTTTGGTAATATATTGTGACAGTCCCTGCAACTAGAGCAAACACGACAGGTCTTTAGGGTGTATTTCCCAGATTTCCAGTTGAGAACCTAAAGAAAGGGAAGTGAGACAAACCATCCAGGATCTGTATCCCGTCATTAACAGGCCCTGTCATTTGGGATCTCAGTTGATCTCTCTGAGATTCAGCTTCCTTATGTGTAAAATGCGATTAGACTAGGGCAGTGGATCTCAAAGTGTGGCCCGGGGAAGTCCTCAAGACCCTTTCAAGGGCCCTCAGGGTTAAAGCTGTTTTTGTCATATGAAGACTTCATTTGCTTTTTTCATTCTCATTCTTTCCTGAGTGTACAGAGGAGTTTGCATGTTGTGTGATACTGTAGCAGACTGAATGCAAAGCAGACATGAGAGTGTAGCTCTCTTTTATTAAGCTAGATGTGAAAGAAACTGACAAAAATGTAAAACAGTGCCACTCTTCTCACTGGTTCTTTTGCTTTTTTTTTTAAGAAAAATAGCTATATTTTTTATAAAAATTATGTTAACATATAATGGTTTTGAGTTATGGGTTTTTGTTATTTGTAAATAAATTAATAAAAGAATTCTTAAAATTTCTTGGTTTTAATTCCTAATATGGTCCTATCACTAGATAAAATCCTACAAAAACAAGAACTCTTTGGAGTCCTTAGTAATTTTTTTTTTAAATGAAGTATAGTTGTTTACAATGTTGTGTTTCAGGTATACAGCAAACTGATTCAGATATATATTAATACACACACACACACACACATTCCTTTTCAGATTCTTTTCTGTTATAGGTTATTACGAGATACTGAATATAGTTCCCTGTGCTATACAGTAGGTCCTTGTTGTTTATTTTATATCTAATATTAGTGTATTTGTTAATCCTAAACTCCTAATTTGTCCCTCCCCTCCCTCTTTCCCCTTTGGTAATCATAAGTTTTTTTTCTATATCTGTGAGTCTCTGTTGCTGTTTTGTAAATAAGTTCATTTGTATCATTTTTTTAGATTCTTCATATTAGTGATATCATATGACTTACTTCACTTGGTATGATAATCTCTAGGTCCGTCCATGTTGCTGCAAATGGCATTATTTCAT